ATTGTGTGACCGAAGCTTACAACAACCCACATAGCATGACAGGGATTAGTTGACCCTATTTAGGAATAGCCTATCCTAGACTGATTTGGAGATAGCTAACTAATAAAATGTGAAAGCCGCCATCCACCTCATCTAGGAGCAGCCTAAAATGTAATCAATGAAAAATAAGCTGTAGTTTGGGGGATTTTAGGGATGATGATGGTGACAGTGATAGTGGTGGTGGTGGTGGCGGTGGTAGTTGATGATGATTGATGATGAAAGAGTATCAAAATGCAGAATGATTGCTTATCGACCAACTGAATGATGGTTAACAAGAGAAGCTAGAGAATAACATTTTGTTCCTGTTTATTCAGCACTAAGGAGAAAACAGCAGTATTCCAGTCTGTAGGAAAGTATACAGTGGAATGGTGCTCATGTTCTGTCCCGTTCTAGATCAGAAATCACTAATTTATAGATCAGAATCTATTAGAAGATATCCAAACAGTTGTAGCCCCCACACTCTTTTTTTTTGCCATGCCCTGCCCTACAGTTTACTATGATTCCTAGCAGGGAAGGAAGTTCAGCTACCTGTGGTTCTTATCCCCATGGTGCTTCCCCCAGGGACTTCACGTTCAACACTATACACTCAACCCTGGGTGATTTCAAGACTTAAATGATGAGTAGCATCCCTTTACAAAAAGGAACATGAAAAATAATTCCCCTTCTTAGAAAGGTTGGGGAATCTCTGGCTTAGATGAAATTGTTTTTTTTTGTTGTTGTTGTTCATCCTTTGTTCTCAAAGGGGACCAGTGACATCATGAGGGTGAGTCTTGGCTTATGTGGGTGAATTGTATTGAAGTGAGACAGAGCTTCACGAAGTCATCAGTCTCATGCTTTCCTCCAAAGTCTTAGATGAAATATGAAGTGTCCCCCAAGATGTTTCAATTCCCTTTGCTCTGACTTTGGGCTCAACACCACAATACAAACCTAACTACTTTGTTTTTCTTCTAAAGTACCATGGAGACAACGTGGTGTAGTGGGACAAACACTGAGTTTATGAGCAGAAGATCTGGATTCAAGTCACTTTCTTTATGTGACCTTGGGCAAGTCATACAACTTTTCTGGCTCTTAAGTTAGATTAAAGGGTATTTAAGATTTTTCCAACTCTAAAAGATTATGATACTAGTGGAGTTTCTGAAATATTAAGCCCAAGTGTAAAGGTCAATAGAAAGATATATCCCTCAAATGTAAAGTAATAAATTGGCTTGATGGTTTACAAAGCAGTTTTTTTTTTTTTAACTTTGGTTAGCATTGGTTGTCAACAGGCAATCACAACGTCACGAGACTTATGTGAAAACCAGGTTTATTACAAGAGAAACGAATGTGCAGAATTCACAAAGAATTCACAATCCTTATAGAAATTTGTTTATTTATGACAGTACAACAAAAGTAGGAGGAGAAAATAGGAAGGAGCATGGCATGGGAGAGGAAAGGTCCAGTAAAAATGGGAAAAAAGGACAAAACCCCTCTTGAAGGGGAGGAGCAAGGTGATGGCAAAAGCTGCATTCTTTTCTCTTGGAAACCACTAAATTATGAAGATAGGAAGGTCCGCTTACTTGCAAAGGACCCCAGCTGCACAAGCATTTTCCCGTCCTGGCACAGACTGTCTGGGCCCGTCTTGCCTCCCAAGGACAAACAGAGAATTCAGTTGGGATGCAAACAGCAAATTAGGTCAGCGGGAGGAGGGGAGAGGAACTTCATCCTTGACACATTCAGGGCCTTCTGCATGTTCTAGGTCCAGAGTTTCTGGAAAATGTGGCAACTCAGAAAGACAAGTTCAGGGGACCCCTTAACAACCCTTAACACAGTCTGCTCCCTGTAGCTTGTTCATCTTGGGTGAAGTGATAAAATTGAATTTCTGAACCTGCAAAGCCAAGGATCATGCCCTGAGACTATAGGGGTTCCTCCAAAGTTCATTGAATCCCATGAGGCCCAGCCCACCTGTCTTATCCTATTCTTTAATATAGGATGTCCTTGGAGTTGAGGTAGATGTCATGGAAGAGGTTGGATTATAGGCTTTAAAGAATAAATAGAATTTGAACAGGTATATGAGAGGATGGAGGAGAAGACAAGGGCATGGAGGCAGGAATGTGCATCATGGTTAGTGAGGAGACCACCCTCACTAGAATGGACAGTTTATAATATGGGAAATAGAAGGAAATAGGTTGAATATGAAGTTTGGAGCCAAATTGTAGAGGAGATTGAAAGGTAGTTGGAGGAATCTGTATTTAACATGGTAGTTGAGATTTGCATTATGAAAATCATGTTTAGTAATTTGCTTAGTAGATGATCCATGATACTGGCTGACAAGCATAGACAGTACTTTAAGGTTTATATCCTGCTTTTCCCCTGCATTATCTCATTTGATTTTTACAACAACCATATGAGAAAGCTATTACAGATAAGATTATCCTCTTTTTTTAAGATGAAAGAGTAAAGGCACAGAGATGTCAGGTGACTTGCCTTGGGCTGCAGGTAATACAAATTTGAGGTAGAATTAGAACCTGCATTTCTTCTGACTCCAAATCTGTCATCAGACACTCCTCTGGTGCACAATTTCTTCAGCAAAATTTTAATTATAGATTGGCTTCCAACGTGAACCACATGCTCAGGGAATGCAGATTAATTGTAATATTAACATTTGTATAGTATAGTAGAAAAGAGCAACGGATTTGGAGTCAAGAGGCCTGGTTTCCAGTCCTCAGACTGCTGCTTATTACTCATGTGATCTCTTTGGGCCACAGTTTCTTCCTGTATAAATAATGAGGGCATTTGAATAAATGATATCTAATGTCTCTTTCAGCTACAGATCCCATGGACCTATGATTAGAGAGGCAAATGTGATTTGTCTGTGAGGGAAAAAAAACCCCAATACATTTGACTATAAAATGAAAAAAATTTTTTTGGCTTACCAGCCTCATCCTCATTCCATTGAATGATAGAATTTGAGATCTGGAAGGGGTTTTGGAGATGTAGAGCTTAAAGGAAGCTTAGCAATATCTAGTCTGATCCTTTCATCTTAAAGATAAAGAAACTGGGGCAGCTAGGTGGCACAGTGGATAGAACAGTGGTCCTGGAGTCAGGAGGACCTGAGTTCAAATGCGACCTCAGACACATAACACTTACTAGCTGTGTGACCCTGGGCAAATCACTTAACCCCATTGCCTAGCCAAAAAAAAAAAAAAAAAAGAGATAAAGAAACTGAGGGAGGCTCCGAGGAGGATGAGTGACTTAGTCAAAGTAGCAGTGCCAGGACTTAAACAGGGACTCCTGAACTTCTCTTCAGTGCTCCTTCTGCTGAACCACGCACTGCATAAGTGAAAATTCATTGTAGTTAGTTAGCCATGATAGTTCAGAGGTTTTTATTTAATTTTTCTTGAATAAGGTTCAAGTGAAAAGCCTACTTGTCAGGTCTGGTACCCAGCCTTGCAAATCAGCACAAGCATTTTGTCATCAACAAGAACTTTTAACCAACTTAGCTTCCTCAAGAAGGAATACAAGTAAAGAAATGTGGGAAATTGATGAATTACGATTTTCCAGCTTAGAATAGTGTTTTCCAGCTTAAATAAAGCCCTTTTCCCTCAACAACTTTGTGAGATAGATAGTGCAAATAGCTACTCTATTGTACTGATGAGGAAACTGAGTCTCACAGAGGGAATCTGCTTTCCAAGGATCACACAGCTAGTAATTGGAAGAACTAGGACTCAATCTTGGCCCTATAAAGCCCAAGCCTAGCACTCCCTCTGCTTTCCACTAACTCTCAAGTCACTTATGAAATGGAATCACTCTATTGCATGATGATTAGAATAAATAAACAGAAGGGGTAATCAGACACACCAAATAAGCACTAGTGACCCAAACAATTTTATTAACAAATTTATTTTCTTTTAATTGAGTTCTATATGTCTGTAATAGGGTATCATAATAGGTTTCACCCTGCACAGAAAGGAATTAATTAGAACTTTTTGTAGCTTGCTCCATATTTACATTTCCATATTTACATTTATCCACTAATCTTGTAAACATTTTCGCCGTGCCCCTTCAGGCCTCCTGTTCCTCCCTGCTCCTCACCACTGGACTCCCTCCAAAAATAAATAAAAACTTTACATATATAAATTATAGTTGACTGTTGAGTGGCTCATCCTTGACTAATTCTTACCCTATTTGAAGCTCCTGTCATAGTATGAGTCTCAACATGGTCAATGCATAACAGAATCATTCTAATGGTCATTCATGATTTTATATAGTTAGCCTCAGTGAGACACATAGGTGTTGATTCATGGCAATGGCGAATTTAGTCCGTTGGTTTTGCCATTACTCATGCATATTCTTATTGTTGGCCCACCGTTATGAGCCTGAGTGAAAAAGAAAAAAAAGCTAAGACCTGTAAACTCATCCTATTGGATTCTGTACCTTGTAAAATGTCTCTTGAAAAGGATAAAACGCCTTGGTAAACTCTTCATGCATTTTTCCGAGTGAGTAGCCCATGTAATCAGAAAGACATTAAGGTTGTCCATATTGTCTTTAAGACTTTTTCAAGTAGTGTCTTTAGTTGTCTCACAGTTTCTGTAGACTTGTAGCAAAAACAGATGGAAGATATTCTTAGATGCAAATACACTGGTACCTTGCTATAACATTGTCCTTGAGGTCCATACTATGGAACCAATTAATAGGTAAAATTACCCATTGATGAGGTTATTTTGTTACTTCAATAACTAAATACTCTTGAATGGCATCCAAAATGCACCCATCTTATATTGAATTCTTTTTGTTCAGTAGTTTTCAGTCATGTCCAACTCTTGGTGACCCCATTTGGGGTTTTCTTGGCAAAGATACTGGAGTGGTTTGCCATTTCCTTCTCCAGCTCATTTTACAGATGAGGAAACTGAGGCAAACGGGTTTAAGTGACTTGCCCAGGGTCACACAGCCAGTACGTTTCTGAGGCCAGATTGGAACTCAGGAAGATGAGTCTTCCTGACTCCAGGCCCAGCACTCTATCCACTGTGCCACCTAGCTGCTCAGTTGAATTCTACTTTGGTACTAATAGCCTTATGTTGTGATTCAAGAGTATGTGGAATTAATTAAATGTGGGTTTTCCATGCAGCTGGCTTCTTTAGCGTTATTTCCCATAAAAGTCTCCTGCCTTGTATAGGAAGCTTCCTGGGCTCTTCTTCCAAACAGCTCTTATAAGCAGACATGATAGTTAGAAAGCTGTGGGGGTGCATAGTCTACCCTTGCTAATAGTAGGTCCCTTTTGAGAACTGTACCTCAGCAAAGTCCTTGCAGTCTCATCAAGTGTCATTCAACCTCTGAGATATCTTGAAGGATCTGGATGAGATTTTCTAGGCCAAAAATATAGCCGTGATCTGGTCCATCATAGATGGGGTGGTTGTACCGGGAGCCCTTGTAAGTTGTATGTGCGAAGTCTATCATACGGATATCAACTTTGGAGAGCCCTTCTGGGGAGGAGCAGTTTGTCTTCTGCACGCATCCTTGAAGATGACTGCCTGTGGTTCTTTCTGGGGGCATTTGTCCATCGTAGATGATGAGGAGAGAACTGGAGTAGAACCGATAGGAACTCTGGTTCTTAATGACTGAGAGGAGAGCCTTGAGTTGGAAGAGAATGGGTTCCAGGAGGTCTGTTCGAAGGTGTAAGCCATTGTGCAGAAACTGATAGAGGGTTTGCCTGAACCCGTCAGTTGAAAGTTTCCTTCCATAATATTTATCTTTGCAGAGAAAGTGGTTTGAATCAGCTTGATAAACCTTGGGTTTAAAAAGGAGAACAAAAATAAAATGTGAGTGAAAACTTTCCCGAAAATGGTTTCTTATTCTGTTGCAGCATTATGAACTTATATAAAGCATAGTCAAGCTTCCAGGAAACACAGCTTAGAAATGGTTGATGTTTCTAATAACCACCATTAAGTGCAAACGTGGCTCCCAGGTTTTAAAATACTTTCTGTTTGGGACTTTAATTTCATGTCATTAGCAGCAAATCTATGAAGTGCCTACTGTGTGCTAGGCATGGGGTATACAAAGATAGATGCACCATAGACACTGCTCTTAAGCAGTTTACATTATAGTAGGGGAAGAAAGGCCTGTTCACAAATTATTGAGTTGCAAGGGAGAATGTATTAAGTGCAGAGGAAAGGTTCAGACAAAATGCAGGGAGAGATTTGAGGAAGGAGAGATTATTTTCAGCTGGAGAGTCAGGAAAACTTCACAGAGAAAGATGCAATTGACTTAAAGGAAGGAAGGTAAGGAGAAGGAAGGGAGGAGGGGAGGAAAGAAGGAAGGTAGAACTTCAGTAGATGGAGATGTGAAGACAGTGGTCTTCCCTGGCTTAGTGGCTCTAAGAGGGGCTCTCAGGAAAAGGGCCTTTAAGTTGGAGAGAGATGGCAAGGGCTCTTGGGAAAGTCCCAGAGACCAGGAACATCCACATCTTCTTTCTTATCCTCCACTCCCTCATGCCCATCTTTTTCCCTTCCCTTTCCCCCTTTCTCTCTACTTGCCCTTCCCACCCTTTTCTAGAACATAAGCCCTCTTCGCCACTATGTTTTAGAATTCCTTTCCTCCTCTGAGTCTCAGCGTAGTTGTCAACTCCTCTGTAAAGCCTTCCCTGATTGCTTCTGATTTTGAATGTTCTCTCCCTTCTTCATGTTTATCTGGAATACTTTGGATCTCTTCTTTGCCCCATCCTTTTCTATCTAGTATTCTGGTGACCATGGGCATGTTATACTCACTGCCACATTCCCCCCAATGGCTGGGACTGTTTTGTTTTAGTCTTTGTGTCCCCAGCTTTATACCCCTGAACTGCTACATCAGTGTTTGTTGAAGTTGGCTATCTGTAGGAAGCAATCCATTCATAAGATCGTAGTTCTTAATCCCAGAAGGGACCTTGGAGATCACCTATTCCCACTTTACGGAAATTTTACAGGTGAGGAAATGAAGCTAAGTGGTTTACCCAGGCTCATCCCGGTAGTGAATCAATAGCACAGCTAGAATTCTGATTCCATATAGTGAATCTATTACAATAATAACAATAACAATAATAGTTCACATGTCTATAGTGCTTCAAAGCTTACAAAGCACTTTCTTCTCATCCATGTGAAGTAGTATGGACATCACTATTCCCATTTATTGATGTAGAAATTGAGGTTCAGTGAGGTTGACTGACTGTCCTGTTGTCACCCAAATAATTAGCATCCTTTCCACTGTGCCATGTTGCTTCTTTTGGTGATTGAGGTCTTGAGGACAGAGGGGACTCAAGGGCAGAAGAAGAACCATGAGTAGCCAAGAGTGTAGTTTGGTCTGAACATGGAGTGTGTGAAGGGGCATAGTGTCAGATAAGGCTGGGAAGGTCTTGATAGGGATCTAGGAGCCAATCAGAAAGATCAGAAGCCAATGGGAAGCCCCTGAAACTGGCTTTTTAAGAAGAGGGCTAATGTGGCCACACCTTTGTGTAAAGGATGGATTAGAGAGGGATTAGAATGGGGATGGGAAGAAAAGTTAGGCTTTCTTATTAAGTAACCCTAAGCTGAAGATATTTCACTGCTATAACAGTGTACAAGTGAATATATCTTATATCTTGTATCTCGTAGAATTCCAGTGTCATCTTCCAAATGATGATTTAAGCCCTGATTCTGTCCCTCTTCAATTAAAATTTTAGTAAATCTTATCTAGATAGATCTAATAAAAATTTGAAAATTGCACCCAACACTCTGGAAAGCAGGTTAGAGGAACTTTTTTTCAATGAGGTTTACAGAAATATGAGCAAGGTGGATGGAGTAGGGTGGCTTTGCAGTATTGATGCTTCCAATTCCTTGGCACTAACTGTACTCCCATAGTGACTTAGTCACTAGAAGGAAGCAGACAGGAGAGAGATTTTGGTGGTCATGAATGGAGCACAGCAGTAGTAACAGGGTCCCCTCCCACCTTTCTCCCCTTCACCCTTGTAGTTGTGGATAGCAGTGGCTAAACCATGCCTAGAGACAGGCATAGCAGATGGGAATGTTTAGCATGCTGCTATCGGGTCCAGTGTGATATGAAGAATTGTTGACACCTGCTCCATGCCTGTGATATCTTAGAGTGAAGTTCTCACTCTACAGGAGCAATTCTGGGTTCTAAACTTGTAGTACTCTTAATATTTTGTTAGTCAGTGGGGACAGCAAGGAGGTGTAAAGGATAAAATGCCCAACTTGGAGTTAGGAAGACTCATCTTCCTGAGTTCAAATCTGGCTTCAGATACATACTAGCAGTGTGACGTTGGGCAAGTCACTTAAGCCTGTTTGCCTTAATTTACTCATCTGTCAAATGAGCTGGAGAACTATCTTTGCCAAGAAAACCCCAAATGGGGTCACAAAGAGTCAGACATGACTGAAAGAGTTCCGGGTTGAGTTTCAGGGACCCTGGGTTACAACCCCAGTTCTGCCCTCATCTGGGTGAACCATGGAGAAGTCACAAGTCAGTGATTTTTCTTCTCTGTAAAACAGAGGGGTTGAACTAGGTGATGTCTTAGGTCACAACAGTTCTAAAAGTCTGTGATTGCATTTGCAAAGAAACCTCCAAGAAAGAGCTGATGACCTCCCTACTTTATTTTCAGTGGCCCATGTGCCAAATTAGCTTATGTATAGCTGGTGTTGTTTACTAAATAAATCAGATCAGTTTAAGAAAGTTGAGGTCCAGAGAAAGATGCAGTTGATGCTACAAATCATCATGCTTCACTCATATGAGGGTGGTATTCCACATTTTCTAAGGGATGTATGTGAAGCGAATTTATAGACTTAATGCCTCACTTTACAGGGTGGCAGTTTCAATTAAGGAAAGCTGTAATGTTTACTGCCAAATTGTCATCTAGTTTTGCTCTGACTAGACAGACCATAAGAATGAATGAGCACGAAAAGCTTAATTTCCTCTTATTTTTCTGCAGCTTCTTGTGTAAGCTGTAGCAGAGCAATAAAAATGAACTGTTGTATCAGGAAAATGAAATTAAACATCCTTTTGCCTTAACTTAGTCTTTAAACATTCTTAATCAAAACCAATGGCATCAGTAAGAAAAAATGGTAGATTAAGAAGGGTAAATTACTAATGGGAACACAGACATTACACTCTCAATATCAGGGAATTGAAGGATTCAATTCTATCATTACAAAGGATTGGAAATCGGGAAGTCACAGGGTCTCACAGTGAAATTATTTTCTTTCAGCCCTTCCCCAAAATCTTGGAACCTGCTAATGTTAAAAGTCTGAATCATTCTGTAGACAAAAGTCACATAGACATTGTTTAAAGTTTCAGCCGCCCCAAGACTGTAAGATCAAGTTCTAAAGTGGTACTTTTTGAATACTGTGATAGTGACAGGTAAGCTGAAGAAATACACAGCCAGAGTACAATGAGGTTTACATTTAATTGTTCACTGTCAGTGCTCCCCTTTAAAGGGCGGGCTGGTCAGATGTCTGGAGAAGTTTCTAGGTGGGTTACTCAATATTGTTGCATGTGAAGGGCAAATATGGGACATGTGTACTGTTAAACTGTTTATACATCCTACCTGCATGCCACAGATGCGAACCCCAAGGGAAGCAGAGGTGCTTTGTTCACACTTCTTTATGTGGCGGGCTTTCTTCTCCTCAGAGGCATCATCTCCATGTTGCCTGGTGCCCATCTTCAGGTCAAGAATGCAAGGATACTTGTACTTTGACACCACATTTTCAAGTAGCAAAAACCCTAGTCATACTAAGTTAAGGAAAACACCATGGATTGAAGAGATATTGCCCTCATAGGAGATAGGTGGGAAAATTCTAGGAATTAAATTTCATGTTTGATTATGTTTATTTTACTCCAGTTTTTCATTACTGACAAGCATACCAGTGTTATTAACCATTCAAGACATTAGCAGTGTTATTAACATACCAGTGTTATTAACAATTCAAGACAGTGACTTCTTAACAAGCCCATTTATTTAGGGGAAATTTTAAGGGTAGTTCCTTCTCTCTGAGATTTAAATTTAGATGCAGGCATGAGATCCCTGGCTGGCTGTGCACAATTTACATTTTATAGCCTAAAATCATGGGGATAAAATCACGAGTAAATGAATGGACCAATATCTTTTTAGGGAAGTGGGTTGATATAAACTTCAGAGATGGGTTGAAGGAATATTGATTTCACTGGAGTAATTTTCCTGAAAACGTTTCTTAGGGAGTAGAGGTGCAAATGTGACTGTAACAAACCACCAGTTTGCAGTAATATAGCAGTGACTAAGGGGGCTTTTTAAACCCAAATTCCCCTACTAGGGCATCCTGGACTACCTAGTCTTATGTGCTACTTACTGTCTTGTTGCATGAATTCAGCCTTCCTTCCCCATTGCTGCCTCTGAGAAATACGCTAACTCAGTCTTACATTCTCAACAGTTTAATGAGGGCTTTGTGGAGAATGTGGAGGGATAGAAGGGGAACTATGGTGAGACTTTGCTGGTCCCCTAAGCCCCGCCCCACACAGCATGACTCATACTGACATGATCTCCAGTGACGTCAGCAACCAGGGAGGGAAGCAAATCATTCCCAACATGAAAAATGATTTTCTCCCAGAATACTGACTGTATTTCTGCAGTTTTTGCAAATAGCAGTCAGCAAAAATTTCCACCAGCCCAGTTCGTTCTTGCAAGCGTTACAGCAGGAATGCAGATATTGGTCATTCTGGGAGTAATAGTTTTAGTTTTAGTTCAAATTTTAACCTCCACACACCCTAATTTCTCTTTTGTTTTGGCTAATTTTTTTTTTTTTAGGTCTCAGGCTCATGAATTTCTGCTAATGTGTATGGCAGTACTTCTGTGAGATAATTTGCATGTAGGCCCCAGGTGGAGCTCTCTGTGTATGTCAGAAGCTCTGTAAACATGAATCACTGAATGACTGGGGCCTGGAGGTCCCAGAACTATGTCCCTGTGCACCCCTTTCCCCTCCCTCCTTTCCATTCTTGACCACCACTGTCTATAATGTTTATATCGGATGTCCTTCTTTGCAATGGAACCCTGCAATTGAGAGTAGAAGCTGCCCATGCTTGGGTAGAAGTCTGTGCTGCCATTTCTATTTATAATCTGCCTTATAATAATAGCTGACATTTCCATAGTGCTTTAAATTTCACAAAACACTTTATCTCCATTATGCATTTGAGCCTTACAACAGCCCTATGAAGTAGATATTACAAGAACTATTATATCTGCCTTATAAATGAGAAAACTGAGGTGCCTTTGTCAAGGATTCCACAGCCAGGGAGTGTCAGGGGCTCCATTCCAGCCAAGGCTTCCTAACACCAAGGCTAGTAAGTACTCTATCCACAATGCCACGATGCTGGTTTTCTCTGGCAACTGGAGAAGTTTAATCTTTATGGCAGCCAACATGCTATTTACCCGTGCATAGAGAAACCCAGCTAGGAAAAAAAAAAGTTTTAGCTAGGTCTAACCAGTCAATAGAAGTCTCCAAGCATTAAGCCTTTCAATACAAAGGCATTGTCCCTAACACTTCTGGATGTGTTTGACACAGTAGCGTCCCCTGGACTTTGTGCCTGCTTTAAGCCAGTGGTTCCCAGATAGTTTTGCTCTACACTAGCTTTTCCCACTGACTTTGGGGGTCCTGTGAGGAAATCCAAGCAAGGATACGATGCATTTTGTTCTCTTGGTACTCAGAGTACATCCGGGTTAGGTGTTCCTTATGGCAGTGCAGTCTCCATGGGTTGCAGTTCTTCTTCTCGGCCTGGTTGCCATTTGTGTCTTCCATAAAGGAGGACACGTGGAATTCGGTCCTCAGGAGCGTTTTGCCAGGACAGCTTGGGTGAATTAAGCACATGGGAAGAAATGTGATGGGCTGCTAGCTTCAGAAAAAGACGAATTACTTGTGTTTATTTGCTAGGCACCTGGACAAAGTTTGACTCTTTTTTTTTCCTGGCTCTTTTCCAGCTCTGTAATTATTGTATTGCCCAAAACAAAGCCTCTGAGGCCTGGTTTTGGGTTCAAATTCCACTTCTGATACTTACTACCTGTGTGACCTTAGGCAAGTCATTCCCCACCCTGGGCCTCAGTTTCCTCACTTGTAACAAGAGGGAGTTGAACTAGATGGTTTCCGAGGTTCCTGGATGTAGCTGTAGATCTTGGATCTTACTCTCTCTAGCTAAACTATTAGCCTTTATGCAGTAAGTATGCAACATGGACTCTGCAAATATTTATTAAAGGCCCTTTGTGTTTATATCAATGTGCATCATTAAAGAAAGAGAGGAAAGATTGATCAGACTTATATATTGTTGGAGACAGAAGAGATCTTAGCCCAGCACCTTAATTTTATGGGTGAGGAAACTGAACCTTAGAGATATTTAGTGATTCACTCAAGGTCACACAAGTAGAGGCTGGCAGAGCTGGGCCACTGTCCTCATCCTTATGGAGCTTGCTGTCTAGTGGGGACAAGGTATGTGTGATGCTTGTACGGGTAATGCTAACATATATTATTACATGATAAGTAGATTTCAAAACAAAGTGCTATGTGAGGACCAACAGAGAATTACTACAGGCCAGAGGATATCAGAGAAGCTTAAGTTGGATTTTAAAAAATGATTAGGGATCTGCTAATTGAAGAGGGGGAGAGAGGGCTTTCTAAGGCATAGGGAACCGTATAAGGAAAGGCATGGAAGTGGGAAGCCGAAAGCAGTTGGGTGGCAAGAAGGAAAACAGCGTCATTCCAGTGGCATAATTTGCTTTTTCCCATACCCTCCTCTAGGTCTAGAATGGCTTTCCTGTTCTTGCTGAAAGTTTTCCTTTCCCTATTTGTACTAGTCTTATGCATGTATGATATTCTCATTTGTATTAAGTGTGTTATATTCCCTACTAGACTATAAGCTTTGAGTATAGGGACTATGCCTTATTTAACATTTGTATTTCTCCTAGTGTTGAACAGTGTCTTGTTGCTTCAGTACTTCAAGGATTTATGAAGATTGAAATCCATCCACACCTCAGTAGTTAATTTCATGAGTTATGTTGGCAGAAAAAATTTATCACCTGATGATGGCCAACACTATGGCTATGTGCCTCTCTGAACTTAACAGATCTGGTACTCAAATGGAAAACTTGGGGTCTTCCAGGCTTACTAGTACTGGAAGGCTTGTTAGCCTGGTTAAGATCTGGCAGAGCTTTCGCGCTTTTGGCATAAACTTTGAGAACCTAGGGCTACTACTTTCAGACCTCAGTGAAGCATTGGCTCGCATAAGACTTCAGGGGAAGGCCTTGAAATACGTGATAGTTATTTAATAAATGTTTATTGAATTAATTAATTAACTAAATAGAATTGTATTTTTAGGCTTTTATTAAGCACTTACTGTGTGCCAGGCATTGTGTTAGGTGCTTTACAAATAAATATTATCTATTTTGGTTCTTACAACAACTTTGGGAGGTAGGTCCTGTTATTTTCCCCCATTTTACAGGTGAAGAAACTGGGCCAGAAAGAGATTAAGTGATTTTCCAGGGTCACACAGCTAGCGTGTATCCAAGTCTAGATTTGAACTCAGATCTTCCTGATTCCAGGCCCAGCACAGGTGACATTGTGTCACCTACTGTCTCTTGTTATAAGTATCTGTGTGGTAGAGGTCTTTTTTTATTTTTTTAGTGTGGTTGTAAATCTAAGTTTAATTGGTTTTGTTGACTAAAGTTAATTTAATAAAATTCTTGCTAAAAACATAATTAATAACTAAATATTACCTTATTGTATTTTTCTAAAGCATGTTTACTCAGATACTCAAATGAATCTATGATCTCATCACTGTGTGATATAGATTAAAACTCATGCATGCCTGACCATCCTATGCTACTCTTATTCATGTCTTTCCATATGTTTGCCACAGTGGCCCTACCTCTTTTGCTGGGGATCTTCCTTGATTTCTCTGGACATCATGAGAATACCAGTGGAGCCCCTAGCCTGACCCACAGATACTCTTTTTTCAAGGACAAGGCTAGCTAAATACTGAGAGGCTCATCACCACTAAGCCGGTCATTAGATAATGAATTCTTTGGCTATGGCAACACATGGAATGAAGTTATTTATGATTATTAGAATAATTCAAAAGAAAGTTAACCCAATGCAGAATTTTGGAATTATTTAAATTTACTTCCATGTGATCTAGAGTAATAATAGTATTATTTTCCTAGTATAGACTTGGATCAGAGGAGGCCTTCTGTCTTGATTAGTGGATGGGAGCTGGGTAGTCATGGGACCTCTTTGCAGTTCTGTGACTTCTGCCTACTCTCTTTTGCCTTGGTTACCCTGTCTGTAAAATGGAGACTGTTCTAGGCTCATATAGACAACAGGCTTAATTACATACCAGGATTACTTCAGGAAGGGTAGTATTTACATTGAATTAGGTCAGTTTTGTTCCAAATAAGTTTTAAAAACCCCAGGGATCCTCTTCATCTGAGAAAGGTCAGCTGACATATTCCAAGTGTCTGACAATCCAAGGACGTGAGACTCTTGAAACCTCTCATATTCTTACATTAAAAATAGCAAATTAACCCAATGAACACCATATTCACTTCTCTTCCCACCATAACTGTATTAGAAAATAAAACGTTACAGGTATAACTTCACTTCACTTTTCTCTTTCTGTTTACTAAATGAAAAAAAAAATCCTACTTGCATTTCCCACCTCGTGGAGGTGGGTGAGGAAAGTACTTTTAGAAGCGCTCCTGCGGTTCTTGTTATTATAGTTGTTGTTATTGTTACTCTTGTTGTTGTTGGCTCTTTTGGGGGCAGGTATCAAACACCATATTGCAATATTTATTAAGTACTGAAGAAATTAATTTTTATCTTCTTTTCTAGAGATGTCATGTAAAATGCCTTCATTTACTAGTGGAGTTTGGAAAATTAGAGAAAGAGATATTATTGTTTCTTTTGTTGGTTGCCGCATCAGTTTTTCTAGATCTAACTCCATTTATATAGTATTTTAAGGTGCATGGAGTGCTTTCCTCACAATGACCCTGGAAAGTAAGTAGGGCAAATATTTTTATCCTCATTTTATAGATTAGGAAATTGAGACTTAGGTTAAGTGACTTCCTGTGGTAACATAGCTAGTAAGTATCAGAGCCAGGATTAAAACCCAAGTTCTTTCCATTGGCACCATACAGCTTCAGCCTGGACTTCATCCTTGAGCTCTTTTGGGATGTAATGCACAGTCTGTTTAGGTAGAAGGTGAATTGGTGTCTGTTTTGAAATCCCTCTGTTCCTTGTGTTTTGGCTTTTAGATGCTGCTCACCTCTCCTTAATAGACTTTGTCAGCTGAGTGTGCTTCCACTGAACGAGAGAGCAGTCATTGCCATGGCCACAGCTGTTCTTCTTCAGCTTCTGCCACAGCATCACTGATGACTCGGGCCCACGGTTGTCTGTCAGTGGACTGGCAACCAGACTGAGATGACCCCGACTGTCTTTCAGGAGATGCACAGTGACAGTGCCTAAAAAAGAAAAGAAAAGAAAAGAAAAGATGATAAAAGTTTAGACTTGGAGGTGTCCTTAGAGGTCATCTAGTTAAACCTCTTCATTTTACAGAGGAAGATAATGATGGCCAGAGAAGTGCAATGACTTGCCCAAAGTGAAACAGGAAGTAGCGGAGCCAAGATTCAAACCCATGTCCTCTGGTATCAACACGAGGGCTCTTTCTATAACCTCTCTGTTGGGTGTGGGAGGGAGGAGAGAAAAAAAGCAGCTGGATAAGGTAGATGATTTTAGAATTGATGACAGCAGTTTCAATGGCAAGAGCTACTTGCCCCGTAAACAGTCCGTCTTGAAGTGTCATCATCTTAAGGAAGAGCTTTGGAGACTGGCCTAATTTAGTTTGAAATAGATCCTATCCCAGAATGAGACCAGAGCCATATGAGTCTCCAAAAAATAGGCCAGGCTGTTTCTAGTTTGCCCTCTCCCTTTTTTCCTACTCTTCTTCTTTCCTTGCCCCTTCATGCTTCAACTGCTAAACTATTTAGCATTTATATATGGCCTTGTGTTTTGATTAGAGGTAGACATGAAAATATGAACCTGCTTACTCTTCATAAAATTTCCCAATACCCACTGCTTCTCTGTAATCAAAGCAGAATGGCTTACTTACTAATTTACTTTAGGAGCAGGAGAATATACAGAAACCCAATTAATTAATTTGCTAAATGGTCTTCTCTACTAGTATATTAGATAGGTTCAGCAAATTTCAGAACATTTATTAAGCATCTAATGACCAGGGGAGATAGGGGAAGTTTGTCCTAGATTTTAATGCAAGAAATGGAGCATCTGTGTACATTTATAAGGTGCTGAGGATACAAAGATAAGACACAATTCTTACTCTGAAGAAACTTTACAATGTAGTAGAGGAGGTAAGGCATGTACTCAAGTAGCTATAATATGGATTAGAATGCAAGTGCAATGAAGAGGCCCAAGATGCCATGCGCGGCTCAAGGAGGGAGATATCACTTTCAGTTGGGGGTGGGGAAGGCGGGGGTAGAGGGTAGGAAAGTAAGGAGAGAATCAGAGAAGGCTTTGTGGAGAAGTTGACATCAGAGGAGCACCTTGAAAGAAGGGAAGGATAACTGGGGAGTGAGGTGGGAAGACTAGAAGAATCTATGCTGAATGTGATCAAAATCAAGGAGATGAGTGAGGGTGGGGAAGGGTGGGGGTGGGCAGGGGGCTTGGAAAATTCCACTTTGATTGGAATGCCTAAAGGAGAGTAATATGAAAACATTCTTGAAAGATAGACTTGGTTGTAGAGGGTTGTGAATACTAGACTAAGGAATTTGTACTATTTCCTTAAAATATTTTATTGACATATTTTAGTTTTTGTATCTCCTGTACTTCTCTTTCCTTTTTTTAACAGCTGAATTTTTTCAGTAGGTAATGGGGGGGGTAGTCTCTGAAGGTTTTGAACAGGGCAATACTGTCATCAGACCTCATCATTAGTAAGATTACTTTGGAAGAAAAGAGAATGGCTGTAGCATGAGAGAGAGTTGGACATAGGGAGACCATTTAGGAGACTGTTAGAGTGTTCCATGCTTGATTTGAAGCTATAGCTTCCTTATTACCTGCAGAGGAAGAATTGATAAAACTTGGTTATTTTGGATGTAGGGGTAATGGAAAGGGAAAAACAGAGATGACTCTGAGATTTCGATAATGAATGACTGGGAGGATCCTTCATGAAGGTTCTCTTGCAACTCTCAATATGTGATTCTGTGATCTTCCAGTGCCCTGAGGTGACCCTGAGCTGTTGAAGGCTACGCCAGCCCCCACAGGGTCTGGCAACCTTCACCAAGGTAGAAAGGCCTCAAATTATGGGTCCAGGTGGACAATATGTCTGTTTTCTGAGAACCAGCTTAGTTAGGTTTAGAGAGATTCATGATCAGATTAGGGCAAGGTGATGAATTTTTCTGCCATAGCAACCCTCAAATAGCATGTAGCTAGTTGTAGAAGAGTTTTGATGTGTGTTAGTGGAAATGAAATTACAGATTTTTCATTGAAGTAGTGGTGTCATAATTGTCCCCTTGTTTTGGGGAAAGATAATGAGTTCAGTTTTAGATAGTAAATTCATTCTGGGTATACATAGAATCAACACTTACATTGATGCCCACCTATAACTAACTGTTCTGTGCTTCCTGTTAAAGAATAAGTTCCTCTTGGGCAAGGTACTTTGTTAATCTTTACTGTTAGCATGAAACTCTGCACAGAATTATATGCTTGGTGTTCTTAAATGACTAATTAAGAACAAAAACATTTAATAATAAGAATTGCTAACATTAATATAGCACTTTTACTATGTGCCAGGCACTGTGCTAAGTGCTTTAAAATTATCATCTCATTTGATCCTCATGACAACTCTGGGAGGTAGATGCTAATATTATCCCCATTTTACAGATGAGGAAATTGAGGCTGAATTAAGTGACATGACCAGGATCACACAACTAGTAACTATCTGAGGCTAGATTTGAACTCAGGTCTGCCTGATTCCAGGCCCAGCTCTCTATCCACTTTGCCCTTTAACAATATTAACACTTAATAACAACTCTCTTTTCTAAAGCTCTTTTAAGTTTTGCAATTCATTAACCTCACAACAGCTCAGACACATTGAGGATGTGAGAGTTCCTTTATTTGTGAATTCCCTCTACCGATACAATCTATAACTTTATAGATGAGCCTTAGAGAGTTGCCTCAGGCAGAAAGAGTTAGTTAATTGACTTGCCTGTGGTCACACAACTAGTAAGTGATAGAAGTGAGATTTGAGTCCCTATCTTCCCAACTCCCAGGAACACCATGGCATCTGCTAGGCCACTCTTCTTCTCACCGTATGTACGTGTACATACGTATTATTACCCCATTTTAAAGATGTGAAAATTAAGGCTCAAAGACAGAAAATGACTTTGGTCTCATAGCTAATAATTATCATACTAAATTCAAACCCAGATCACCTAGTTCAGTGCTCTTTTCATTATACCTGGATGTCTTTCTGTTTAAGTGAAAGCAGTGGGCATAAAAAGATTGCCAAACTGAGGATATGAGAATGCAGTTAACAAATAGTGGATTCCTGCTGAGATTTTCTTTTTTTTTTTTTTTGCCAGCATTGTCATGGTTTAGGACACCACCGCTATCTTTGCTTGGCATAGCTGGCTTTATCACATTGTCATTGTGGTGTCTTGTTGCCCTCCCCAAAGAGCTGAAGCCTGGAGTGCAGCTGCTTCCACATTTTAAAATGAAACTTCAAAAAACAGCCACTTTGCTCAGGACAAGTTGCAATTTTTTCCAAATAAGTAGTGAAAGGAGCTGATATCATTTTCTTTCTTACCTGTGCCCTCACTGGCTTGAGGGAAAGCATGGGTATTGGCTGATGAGTTTGCAGGTGCTAATTTTCAAGGCTGTTCTTTAGGGCAGTAGGCACCTCTCCAGAATACCTAGCTTAGCTCATCCCTCTTTTCTAAGATTCCCTATATCCTAATTATGTAGCTCCAGGATAGCCCTGGGTGACCTCTTGCTTCCAAAAAGAACCTGTTTTTTTCCTCTGATCTTTTGAACCCTGAGAAATGTCCTAAAAGTTTGACACCAGAGAATTCAGCTCCATTGTGTTCCCACTGCAGTCATGCTGCTAATGTTTGTAACAGCTGATATGTATATGGTACTTTGGAATTATTTTATACGGCATTCTCAGTTAGTTCTCACAAAAATCCTATAGGGATGTAGTGCAAATATCATTTTTTCTCTTTTGCAGATGAGGGAACTGAGGCTCAGACAGGAGAGGTAAGTTGCCCAAGGTCATGCAGCTAGTAAGTGGTGAACCTAGAACTAGAATCCATGTCTTTTAGTTCCATTGATTTTTTCCATTATTCACGTGGCATCTTCCATGTAGCTAGGTTAAGGTGCCAAATGATTATCATGGGTGGGCACAGATCTGATCTGACTTATGGTAGTAGATGAAACCTCTATTCCACAGGCCCAACAAGGTGGGGAAAGTTTTTTTTAAAGTTGTTTAAATTAAGTCATTGCCTTGAGGTTCCGTGGACCCTTCTGGTCAGTGGATGCCTAGGATCTAACCTGAGTTTACTAGTTGGAGAACTTGAAGGTCACCTTTAGTCACATGTTCTGCTGCTAATGCCTAAATCCAGCCAGGTGCTGTGAGTATTGGGAGGAACACTCCCACTGTGTACATGGTCACATTTGTCCAGGGCTTAATCATCCCACAGGAAAGAACAGTCAAACTAAGACTCCTGGAGATTGGTGAAAGAGAAACAAGGAGATCCAGGGAGTTCTAGCACAGTATGAGGACAAGTATGTTAAAGTTGGAGGGACTTTGGGGAAGTTAATGTCTGAATGTTTGTCTCAGGGCTTGTCTGTACTCCCAAGGGTCATTTTCTAAATCTTTGAAACCAAAACGTTCCTTGGATTAGTCTTCTCTAATGCAAGAAAAGGGGAAAATTCAGTAGCCATGGTACTTATTCCATTGTCAGCAAAAAAAAAAAAAAAAAAAAAGATCCCG